CGTAGGTCTTGAATTTAAATGGAACAGGTTAGAAACCCTGCACAGAAGTCCCTCGATGATCGCGGGGGTTACGTTCCACACACCACCGCAATAGGTGAAAAACAACAAAGTAGGAACGCTATATTTATTTTAGTATTTATATGTTTTAAGGCTTTAGAAACCCTTCCCACACTCCTGCAATGTTCTAAACTGTTAAACCTACATAATTTTAACAACATGCGTATATGTACTGTACAGCACTGCAAAATTGTATATGGCCACTCACCAGCTCTACAGACCAGCAGCTCGGTTCTGGTTCTGCAGACGTACCCTGCAGCTACGAAGCTCATCGCTCCGTCCAGGTCCATGTGCACGTGGATAATTGAGCTTCAGGATTATTTGTGACTTTCCTGCCAGTTCTGTGAGCTTAACAGATCGATCGTTACTTCTGACTTCTCGTCGCTAAACTTTCCCTCCATTTCAGCAGAAAGCAGCGGCCGGAAGCACTGTTGGCTTCTGGGTAGTGTAGTTCTTTTGACTTGCATTACAGTATAGGCTTATTGAAAGAAAACTACAAACTATTTTTTTTTTTTTTAAACTTTTTATACCGTACCATCCCAATCACGTGAGTAATATTAAAGTTGACAATCGTGTAGTGTACAATCTTACATTGAAAAACCGTGACAGAGCGAGTTTGTGAAAGTCGAACCGCAAAGTAGTATTAGCATTAGGACTAATGTATTAGCATTAAATAATAATAATAATAATATTAATAATAAAACTATGAAAGAAGAAATGATCAAACTACATCAATTATTCTGCTTTTATCCATTTTTAACTGTTTATATCTATTTTATCCATACAATACAAATATGATATAAGGATGACCTCAGACCTTATTTGGTGTTTTTGACCCACAGTGGGGTCTCAGACCAGACCTTGGGACTCATCGATGTGGTAGACTTTCAGGGGACCACTTCAGTTCTTTAACTGTTTCCTGGTTCTGGTTGGATCATGGTCGTTAGAACAATGTTTATTGGATCTTTTGTTAGTTTCAGAGTTTCTTGACTCAGGTGAGGCTCTGGAGTGAGGTCAGAGGCTGTGATTGGTCCGTTTGTAAACATGTCCCGATTGGTCCAAGATGCTATGAAAAGTGTTAGCCGAAGAAGCAGCAGCTAAAAATAATCCTCTTGTGGTCGAGGTAAGGAGTTGAAGGAAGGCCCATTTGTTTTGTGGTTCTGGTAAAAACAGCATGAAGTAACTGAGATGTTTGTGTTTGTGCTGCAGAACTCGGTACCTGCTCCGGGTCACACCAACACAATGTTAAAAAGGAGAGAAGTGACTGAAACACCTCGGTTATGTAACGTTTGGTTTTCTGCCAGGGTAAAAAAAACCACAGTGACCTCTGCGAGCACGTCTGGGTTTAGCGGTTCTTCTGGGAGAGAAGACAGGAAGTGAGCCGATCTGCAGCGAGTCCGGTCATTTCTGAGAGTTTGGACCTGTCGCTTGAAGCCTCCGGTTCTGGGCTTTTTGATGCTTTGACAGCCCTTTGTGACCAAACGGGTCAAAGGGCAGCTCTGCTGAGGTTTTAAACTTTTGCACATTTTCCATCACTTTGACACAGTTTTAGCTGCAGACGACTCACCGGGTATTTTTAAATCCCTTCTACTTCCAGCAGATCCTGTGAAAGCGGTCAGAACGCAGCAGATAAAAATGAACCATCAGCAGTTTCAGAACCAGAATCTTGAGTTTTACAGGCTGAAATTTGAATAACTAATGTAGCTGGTGAAACATAAAGTTTATGAACGAAAAGGAGCCCAGAGGGAAGAGCTGCTGGCTTTACTGGGTTCTCTGGTTCTTGGCCCCGGTATCGCCTGGTTGCCATGGTGATGGAGCATCTGCCCACCCAGTGGTGTGATCTTTATCAACTGGGCTGATTCCGTTTGCTGGTGTGTGTGCATGTGTAACGTTTGACCGTGCACTGTTTGCCTTTGAGTCAGGACACTTTACCTGGCAGCCCTCTTTGTCTTTGACAACTAGTGTGTGTGTGTGCACGTGTGTGTGGAGCATCCCTGCAGCGCTACATGGAGGCTAATTGTGCTTTAATTACCCAACCAAGTCGAACAGTTACTTTCCACCCACAGAAAACACACAGTGTGTGTGTGTGTGTGTGTGTGTGTGTGTGTGTGTGTGTTCACCCTTGAATATCAGAGTCAGAGTCAGAGTCAGAGTTTCTTTATTGTCATTCGCACCTCATGTGGTACATGTGGTGGAGCGAAATTATGTACACAGGGTCCCAGTTACATCCAACAATAAAATGTATAAGAAAAACAGTAATAACATCTAAGATATGAACTAAGAAAAACATCAACTAAATATACACTAAGCACTCATAACATAAAACATTGAACATCAGCACAAACATGAACATGAGTCTGTGAGCAGATGTGCACACATGAACACATCAACATTGAAACAGATCAGCAGCAACATGAAACAGATCAGCAGCAACATGATATGGTTTTTCACAGTGATTATTCTAGTTAGAGATTCATGAGTCTAACAGCCTCAGGGTAGAAGCTGTTCCTCAGTCTAGTGGTTCTACACTTAATGCTCCTTAACCTTCTTCCTGAGGGGAGTGGGGCAAAAAGTGTGTGTGCTGGGTGGGTGGGGTCCTTCATGATGCAGGTGGCCCTCTTCCTGCATCTGGAGGTGTAGATGTCTGTGATGGTGGGGAGACTGATTCCAACAGATTTCTGTGCAGCCTTCACCACTCTCTGCAAAGCTTTTCTTTCTGCAGCTGTGCAGCCTCCATGCCACACATTGATGCTCGAGCACAGGATGCTCTCCACTGCACACCTGTAGAAGGAGGTGAGGACTGAGCTTCCCAGACCAGCTCGCCTCAGCCGTCTGAGGAAGTAGAGTCTCTGATGAGCTTTCTTGATCAGGCTGGTGGTGTTGTTGCTCCAGCTGAGGTTGTCATTCATGTGTACACCCAAGTACTTGTAGCTGGAGACCACTTCCACCGCAGATCCTCTTATGTTCAGGGGGGTGTAGGTGTTTTTGTTCCTTCTGAAGTCCACAATCATCTCCTTTGTCTTCTTCACATTGATGTGAAGGTTATTCTCTCTGCACCAGCTCTCCAGGTGTTCCACCTCTTGCCTGTAGCTGGACTCATCATTGTTTGTGATGCATCCCACCACCGCTGTATCATCTGCAAACTTTACAATGTGACAGCCTATCTCATGTAATATCTCATGTAACAAACACACACAAAACACACACTTTGTGCACAACTAGGAAAATAAAAATCTAGGAACAAGAGATTATTTTTGTTTGTTTCCCAGTTTACAGATTTGAGCTTTGTTCAGAAGAAACTAAAATAATTCAAAATTAAAGTTTTTTTTTTTTTTGTTTAATTAAAGTTAAAACTTTGAATTAAAATAACATTTTAAACAAAAAAACATGACATCAGATTTATTTATCAAACTTGGTCTGAAAATATTTTTTTAAATTTATTCTGAGCATTTCAACTTTAAACTCCAAACTGCAGAACATAACTTATAATCCTCCGTTGTGAAAATAATAACTAAATGACCTTTTTGAACTTTAGTACACAGCTATATTTAATATATTTAATAACTGTGATCTTCAGTGTTGGGAGGCAGAGGAATGGATCGTTGTTCTGACCCATCAGGAGCTTCTTCTCATGTTTGTTGGTTATAAATTCATAAATATCTTATTTTACTGAACACATCTTCTCTGCAGCACATGAAGCTTTATTCATCTTCATCTCATGTCTTTTGATCAGCTGTGTTTTAAAGTTTAGTTACTTTGAATTTGATATTTTCTGCTTGAGAGTCGCCTGTGGGGTCAAAGGTCACCCAGCTGGGATTTCTGATCTTAAAATGAGCTTTGCCTTAGATTAAAATTAGTCATGATTTGTTTAACAATACATATTTAATTGAATAATTTATTACATTTTGGTTTAAATCTGTAATGAAAATAGTTTGTTCATTGCTGTTTGCACCTTTGGGAAAAAAAAAGATCTAAAACTTGAGAATAGAACCTGCAGCTAATAAACCCGTTTAAATGTCAGCTGACCTGCTGGTATCGAACAGCCGGAACCGACCCGATGGAGCAGAACCATAAACCGACAGCGCTTTAGAGCTCGTCAATTCTCTTAAAGTGATCGATGTCACCGGGTGCTGCTGAGGTCAACGTCTTTATTGGACCGGGTCTAAAAGACAACATTGTAAAGAGACAAAACAGTCAATTATCCGTCCAAGAACTGTCTTCATACAGTGACATCATCTGTCCAATACCTGTCCTAATTTAGTGACTTCATCTGACCAATAGCTGTTTTCATATGGTGACATCATTTGTCCAACAACTGTCCTTGTACAGTGACATCATCCTTCTATTACCTGTCCTCGTATAGACACATCATCTGTCCAGTAACTGTCCTCATGTAGAGGGATGAGCCTGGTCCGATCTGCACAATCTGTCTAAAACTCTGGATCAAACTCTGAAGTTCCTCAAACTGTGTCTCATAAATGATAAAATGTTTTGTCATCTGATGCTTTGATGCTTTCAAGGGCCTTCTCCTACTCCGCTCCTGTTTCCTTGGAATATCTTACAAAAAGATTTGAAGCCTTTGACCTTGACCTTGACCTCTTTAAGTGGCTTTCAGAATCTGTTGGACTCCTGGCAGGGACCAATGCATGTTCCTGTTTTTAGTTTTCTACATTCGCCTTAGAATCTAGCTGTTTTTTGTTACTTTTCTTTTTTTACCCATCTTATTTGTAAAAATAATAATAAAAAAAATTGAATGACTTTTTATAACTGTCTATTGTTGTCGCTGTTGTCCATTGTTGTCATCATTCTTTGTTGAAATCAGGTCTCTTGTAAGTGAGTCCTCGAGGCTCAATGGGATTTACCTGTCTAAATAAATAAATAAAGGTTATGAGTTGAACTTAATTTTTTTGTAAAATAAATCAATCCTCTCTGTCTGTTTCCAGCTGCCCCACCGACGGGTCACCTTCTCCACCTCCAACCAGGCCCAGGATCTGCAGGATGCCTCCCAACACAGCTACTACGACAGTGGCCTGGAGGAGTCAGAGACCCCCAGCTCCAAGTCGTCGTCGGGGCCGCGGATCGGACCGCTGGCTCTGCCGGAGGACCACTACGAGAGAACCACACCTGACGGCAGCATCGGAGAGATGGAACACCCGGAGAACGGTAAGAGCAGGTGGAGTTTCCCTCCGTTTTCCTTTTTTCACCTCCATCGTCCATCCATCCAGAGAGGAGCAGAGACACAATCACTTCCTGTTTTCATTTACACACTTTACATCACATACACCTAACACCTACATTTAATCAGACTCCCACAATTCCCTGTGCTGTGTATGCCTCCATTACAGAGGCGGGACCTCACAGGCAAACAACACAATCAGCGTGCAACATAATCAGGTCTGATGTTTTTACAAACTAACTTCAGACTTGTAGAAAAATCACACTTACAGTTACAGGGGCTATTCAGTGCAATACAAGAGCTAATGCTAACAGATGCTCAGTACAACACAGGAGCTAATGCTAACAGATGCTCAGTACAACACAGGAGCTAATGCTAACAGATGCTCAGTACAACACAGGAGCTAATGCTAACAGATGCTCAGTACAACACAGAAGCTAATGCTAATATACATTCAATACAACGCTGAAGCTAATGCTATCAGATGTTCAATACAACACAGAAGCTAATGCTAATATATATTCAATACACTGCTAAAGCTAATGCTAACAGACACTCAACACAACACAGGATCTAAGGCCAACACTCAGTACAACACAGGCGCTAATGCCAACAGACACTTAACAGGGGACACATGCTATTTCTAACCAAAAACAATAAATCTGACAGAAATATTGACATTAGATGCCTCATTGAAAACATTTTTTTGTTTGTTTGTTTGTTTTAATTTGAATGTTTCAGAAGTTGGAACAAAGTATTGTGTGACTCAATGCTATGGATTGTTGAGCATGTTATCAACAGACGTTCATTTTTTTAAATCCTAATGTAGAAAATTAAAATTAGTGTTTCACAGTTTTAATAACCAGGTAATTTTATCTGTTTGACAGAGGAGAAATAAAAATAAATGTTGCTCATAACGTCCCTGAAAAATCACCTGTTGTGTATTTCAAGTCAGGTTAGAAGAGAACATTTTTCTGTTTGTGTCGCATGTCATTATTTTGTTAAAACCTCTAAACTTTAATAAACAGCTCAAATTTAAATAAACACTCAATATATTATTCGGACAATAATAGTGTTTACTTTTGGACAATCTTCCAAACAATCAGTTTGAGTAGAACCTCCTGGTGTTCTGTAACTTTAAAGAAGCCAAACCCGTCATGTCTTTTTTCTTTTTAGTTCAGTTTTTATTCAGTCATTTTTCAAAACACTTTTTTTTTTTTTAGCTTTCAGGCGTCTTCTCACTCAGGCCTGTTAGAGATGATCCAGTCAGACATTTATGTGACTTTGTGATAATCCGGCAGCTTTTATTTATTTTTATTTGTGTAGATTTCTGTCTTAATTTATGTTTTCATAACCAAATAGTTTGTTCTGCTTTCATTGTTTTATTTTGATTAAATATAACTTTACATTTTGTTTTGTTTGTAACAGTACTTCTGTTTCTAATTATTTATGTTAAAGCCTCCTTAAAATAAATTATTAGGTTGAATTAAAACTCAAAGCCGGTCCACCTGCTTGTCTTTCTGGATAACAGAGTTTCTATATGTCCCCTCATGAAGGGAGGTTTATTCACTGTCGATTCATCCAGAAACTGTAGCTGTTCTTCCACACATCCATGTATTTAAACATCTGCAGGCTTCCAGCTCTGCTGCATGTTTCATAAGTCTCATTTAAATCTTTAAAGAACAAACGCATAAAGCATCTCATGCATAAAAAGCTGAGTTTAGACAAATTAAGAAGAGAAATGCATTGTTATGTCTGCAGAAAGCTGGGGGATGAAGTCAGAAGATGTTGAGCCTCAAATCTTTACGTTCAGATAATGATGCACTCAAGAGTTTCAGCTCGCTGTCCCTGAACAAGGAATAGTGTTTCATTTACCTGCGTTATGGAGCCGTATTAAACAGACGTGTCGGAAATAATTTGCCAATTTTACCTTCTTGGTGTCACAGTTTATTGTTCTGCTCTGCAGCGCCTCGTTAACATGTACGGTAATAACCGGAGTGAGGGGAAAATGTTGAGGCAGGCCGGTGGATAAAGGCCGAGGACAGAGTTTAAATGTCACGTCTGTCTTTGGACTTGTTCTGTGAGGGTGAGTTGACGGACCCGGTCCGAAGTCCTCGGGTCACACATTAACCATCTGTAAACAGAACCGTTCTAGCTGCAGGTCTGCCGAGCAGGAGGTCCCTCTCAGCCAGGGAGAAGGTCAGGGTTGTGATGAGGCCATCTTGGTTCAGCCTTGGCCTTTGATGATCAGACATGTTTTAGCTGGAGCTGCTTTCCCAAGGAACAGTGTGTGAGGTGTGAGTGTCCAGATTACAGCGTGTATTCTTGAGGATTAACACTCTGCCTCAGATACACTTTCCTCCTTCGCTCTTCCTCTCTGAACAGTCGAGTCGTGCTCCATTTTCTGTTTATTCTGTCAAAGAAAATCCATCTTTATAATTCGTCTGAACAGCGTTTGCAGCACAGAAACGTTCGCCTTAACCACTTCTCAGAATACGCGTTTAAGATTCTCCCGCAACGTGTTTTAAAGAAACATCAGATGGTTTCAGTGTGAACACATAACTCAGAAAAATACTTCCTGTTTATTACCATATTTTTCACCATATAAGTCGCACCTTTTTGCATAAATGTACAAGTCCTGCGACTTATACACCGAATCAACTAATATACGTTTCCCCCCCCAAATTTATAACTCAATTTTTGGCTGAGATCTGACGATTTCATTAATTCTGACATGAAAAATATTAAACATTACAATTTTCAGCCACTAGAGGGCCCTCGAGCATTATGGCAAGCCAAGTGTCTCATTAATAGGTAAAAGTGGCTATTAATGGAACACATGGCTTGCCATACAAAGCCAACTTCGTCTCGCTCCGTAACTCCTGGAGCAAACGTCAAACCAGCTTCACCGCACCACCCAGGCGAAATGCAGCTGGTTTGACCGTCATAGTGCATTTATTAAGGAAAAGTTCAACTGAGACACACCTTTGCTATAAAGTCGAGCAAACAAATAATTGTTTTTAAGTGTTGATCTTAAATTCTTGTTAAAGTCCTCCCGTGCACACCCCCACGGCCGTCATTTAGCTGCCAATCGATTTGTGGCACAACACCAGCCACGTTTTCGGGTGGTCAGCGGTGACGCATAATAGATGCGACTTATACGACGAAGCGACTTATTTATGTTTTTTCCACATTATTAGACATATTCGGACTGATGCGACTTGTACGGCGGAAAGTACGGTAGTTTCTACAAAACAACTAAACAAACAAAAAAAACTAAATTCAATAAAACTGTGTGGAAAGGTGTAACAGATCTAATAAGTATAACTACAGCAACAGGTTTTTTTTTTTTTAGCACATCTTGTTTATTTTGAATAAAATGAAATTATTCAAACATAACACTTTTAAATGTTAGTTTTCGTTTCTCCTGTAAAAATGTTTTTTGTTTTTTTTTTTTTTTTGTGACTGTTGGTTAAAGCTCAGTTTAAACTGATCACTTTAAGCCTGTTTTTCATTTATAGAAAGATAAATTCAGGATCCGACTGAGCCGTGACTCAACACTGTGAGAAAAAAACTGAATTTCCTGTAAAGTCTCACCAAATCGGTGCATTTCTGTAGATAACTGCAAATCAGTGTCCATGTTCCTGTGGATTGGGTGCTTTTATTTGTGTCAATATTTATTCTCTTTTGTCTGCTTTTGGGTGTCTCTTCAAAATCTTGACCACATAAGATTAAAAACTCTTAAGACTGACGTGATGAACCCCAACATTTGGAGACAAACTGAGACATTTTCGAGGCATTTTGAAGTTATTTTGGAGACTCTGGATACTTTTGTTCATATCATTTCCAACATTCTCATCCCAGAAATCCAACTTCTTGGTCCAGTTTGACTAAGGCTCAGATCTGTACCCACCCCTGATCTTCCTGATCTGAGCAGAACTTTAAAACAGCTTCATCTTGTTGTGTCAAAAGTTATTTTGGACCTAAAGTAGCTGAGAAGAACTGGTTCCGTTACCACTGGACCAGCTCAGACTGGATCTTTGTCTCTTTTCGTGCAACAGATGTTATATTTATTTGTTGTGTAGGTTAAAACAATAATCAGCTTATGTTGTTGAAAGGTTTTTATGAGTCTACAGCAACATATCTGTTTGTCAGCTGCTCGGATGTTCTGGGATGTGTTTCCTGGTCTGTGCTGATCCAGATCCTCTCCTCTTCACCTGCTGTCAGGTTCTCTCTGGTACCAAATGTCGTGCTTCAGGTGAAATCACAGAACTGAAAAGTCAGGAAGCTGGATGGGTATGAGACGTATGTGTGCTTTGCAGGAATAGAAAATGTTGGCGTTTAACTCTGATGATAATCGCAACAATCAGCAGCACAATTAGGTTCCTGCCTGGGCCCGGCTCGGCCCGGTTAGCTCACCTCGTGGCGTTGGTTTAAGGAGGCTATTTTGTTGCTTCCTGTTGTTTTCCTCAGCTGAAGACGGTATCGATCTGTCAGCTGTGTGAGCGATTGCTGATTGTTCACATCTGAACTGCTTCAGACACTCTGATGAAGAGCCGCAGGAACAAACCAAGTGGCCTAAAACTCATTTTCTGTCTAATCCGGTAAACGCCGGGATTATTGTATCACTCCTTATTGACCCTGACATCCTGCACACAAGCAGGCACATTGTCACCCATGTGTTCAGGTTGTGTTCGCAAGAGCAGCCAGATGTTCTTAATGCATCCTGGTTGCTTCTCCTCGTGGATTATCTGCATAGATTATATTCCGGACATAATCCGTGTATAAACTGGGAGCATTTGAAACGTAGCACAGCGCTCCTCCAGATTTAGATTCAGGACCAACTGTTCCATTAACAGAAGCTTCATCTGCTGCTCAAAGTGTCTCATCAGCAGGAAGCGCAGGACATCTCTGATATTGCTTCAAAATAAAAGCACTGCATGCAGGGTTTGTTACACCTGCACATTATTCTTTCAGGAACGCCTAT